AAATCAGAGAGGTCTGCTGAAATCCTTCTAAAGGTCTTCTGGGGAACGCTCAGCGCGCATCATGGGACAGGGTAAGTCAACCCAAACAAGTACACCCTTGAGTTGCATTCTAGATAACTGGGATCGGTTTAAAGGTGATTATATTTCAAAGAGGAAATTACAGGAATATTGCAGTTCTGTTTGGCCCCAATGTAAATTGGATGGGGGAGTAAGGTGGCCACCGGAGGGGTCGGTCGATTTCCAAATCATTTTGCAGCTGCATCTTTTCTTCCAACGTGCGGGCAGGTGGACCGAGCATGCTCATGCGCAAGCGTTTGTAACCCTTAGAGACAGCCCAGATTTGCTGGAAAAATATGGGCTGACGGCTACTGGAATCCCTGTCCCTAACCCACTAACTGCCCCTCCCGCACCAGGTGAATATTCTCGGCCAAATCCTTATGCCCCTGTATTGGACATGGGCGTTAAGGCAAACAGGAGGGATGGCATGGGACTTGTCCCCTCCACCCTTCCGAAAGCCAGCAAGGGGGGACTGTGCCAGAATAAAAATGCAGCAGAGCAGGATAAGGGACTGCAGCCGCCAAATCCTGACAGCTACGAACAGCCCATGGGTTTATGCTCCAAGAGACAAAAATAACTCGCCAAGAGGGAGTTGATGGCAGCAGAAGGCCATATTGTAGTACAACACTCTGGAGACACCAACCCTTCAGTCCTACAGATCTCATTACCTTTAAAGTGCAGGGAGGATCCTATTCAGAGAATCCCACATGCATAGTGACCATGGTTGAGGGAATCATGTTGAACTATCACCCGGACTGGAGGGACATGCGAGTGTTAGCTAGAACCCTTCTCACAGAAGTAGAGGAGGCACAAAAGGCATCAAGACCAACCTTTGCGGAATGATCCTGCGGATCAGGTATTTCCTTGGGAGACTGAACCCCAATGGGACCCAGATACACAAGAAGGGCAGGACAGACTGGCCACCTGCAGGGGTCTTTTCCTCCATGGGCTCAGGCATGCCATGCCTCAAATAGACAATTGGGCAAAGCCCTATGAAGGCACACAGGGACTAAAGCAGTCCCCTGGAGAATTTCTCCAGCGGATCAGAGATTCGGTTTGGCAGCACACCTCAACCGACCCAGACGATCTGCGAGCAGAAGCATTGATAAAGGGGATTTTTACAAGCAGAGCAGCCCCAC